TCTGACTTCTCTCTATAACCTGCATATTCTTACTTGTCAGATAGGAATGTAATTCCCTCTTGAGTACCTTGATTGAACCTTCTTCAATTATTGGCTTAGGGAGAACATTCCAGATCCTTATCACTCGCTCTGGAAAAATGTTTCCTTGTGTGTTGCCATTGCTTCTTTTGCCAATTACCTATAATCTGTGCCCTTTCTTTATTTGAAATCCTCTCACCAATGGGAACAGTTTTTCTCTATCTACTCTCTCCAGACCCCTTGTGACTTTGGATTTCTCTATTAAATCTCCTTAAAATTTCCCTTCTCCAAGGAAATAGTCCTAAATTCTCCAATCTAATTTAAAAACAGTCAATTTTAAATATATATACAAAAGCAGAAATTGCTAGAGAAACTCAGCAGGTCTGGCAGCATTTATGGAGAGAAATCAGAGTTGATGTTTCAGGTCCAATGACCCTTCCTCAGAATACTGGACCTGAAACATTAACTCTGTTTTCTCTCCACAGAAGCTGCCAGACTTGCTGAGTTTCTCCCACACTTTCTGTTTTTGTTTCTGGTTTTCCCTGATTATAGAAACCTCATCCATGTTTTGAAATCCCTCCATTGCCTCCCCCAACCATGCCTCTGTCATCTCTGCTAGACCCACAACACTCCCAGATAACTGTATTCCTCTAATTCTGGCCTCAAACATTCCCAATTTTAATTGGTCCACAATTGGTGACTGTGCACTCACCCTGACCCTAGTTCTGGAAGTCCGTCCCTAAACCCCTCTGTCTCGATTTATCGTTCCTGCTTTTAAGGCACTCTTCAAAACCTACCTCTGCCTGAACTTCCAGTTATCGACCCTGCCATTTCCTAAGTTGCTTGTGTCAAATTTTGTTGATAATGCACCTGTGAAGTACCTTGGAATGTTTTATTGCATTAAAGGCATTTTATAAATAGCTTGTGTGTCTTGGATCACCATGCAATAATATTGAGTAATTTAGAAAGTACATATTTCCACAGATACTCAAATAACATATTAATTCAGAAAACCTTACTGAACACCTGTACAAATCTAAATCCACTGCCTCTTGACACACCATTGATAATAATCATAAAAGTTAACCTGTGATGCACATATAATGTGCTTTCTGTTTTTACCTGCTAGTTTGCTTCACATCTTCAGCCTATGCTACCGTCTGGCAGCCATGCAAAAATAGAGAACCCAATGTGTGAATCTCTCCCTGTCCATACAGAACCTCTCCATCAGCAGTTCCACAACTCTGCCTCCTTGTGGTGACACATGGAAGCTGTGTCCCTTGCAGTTCAAGGTTCCGCAGAGTTTTCACCTCAGACCTGGAGTGTAAGATCATAAGATGTAGAAGAGCAGAAATAGGCCATTCAGCCCATCGAGGCTGCTCTGCCATTCAATGAAATCATGGCTCATCTGATAATTCTCAACTCCACTTTCTATTTTTTTAAAAATAAGGAATTATAAAAGATAGGACTTATTGACATCTGGAGAGGCAAACATTGATTAGGGATAGTCAGCATGGTTTTGTGCAAGGAAAATCGTGTCCCAAAAACATGATTGAATTTTTTGAGGAATTACCACAAAGGTTGATGATTGCAGAACAGCAGATGTTGTTTATTTGGATTTTAGAAAAGGCTTTGACAAGGTTCCGCATGGTAGACTAGTTAGTAAAGTACGGTCACATGGGATTCAGGGTGAGCTTGCCAATTGAATACATAATTGATTTAATGGCAGGAAACAGAGTAATGGTGGAGGATGGGAAGATACAGTGGAAAAGGCAGAGCATTCTGGAAGACACATTCTGTGTAGACTTTGAGAGACTAAGATTGATTTCTTTTCTGTTACTGTTTGGGTTATTTAAGTTGGACTTGTGTTTATTGGATAGCATTCCAGTAAAATTTTGTTCAGTTAGGGAATAGTTAGGAGTTAGGGGGGAATTGTTTGGTTTGTTATTAGTTCTATTAATTTGTTCACTGTTAGGGTCAAATATATAAATTGTTACTTGTTACTTACTAAATGAGTATCAGGGATTTTTTTTTCATTTAATGTCCCCTTCTCCTGAACAGTTTGGGGGCTCGTCTGGGATCTGGCTGGTTCGTGTATGGAATCTGAATGGATTTGGACAGATTTAAACAGATTTGGGGATTAGTGTCTGTATTGGATGGGCTGAAGGGCTATAAGTTAACGATGATATTTGACAGCTGCATGAGAAGATAGATCGTCTCGGATTGGCTGAATGGCTAAATTTGTTGACAATACTCGACAAGCTGCATGACCTTGGATGAATCTTGTTAACCTTCCTTTACGGGCCGTAGATGGCACCTGCAACTTGTTTTTCTGTAGCTGGTGTTTTGTCTTCTGTATCTGCTTTCTTCGTGCTGGCTGTTTGTTACGCTTTATAATAGAGAGAGATTCTTTATTCCAAGTCATTGGCATTCGCTTTCGGTTTGGAAGCATGAATAGTGCCAGGAACGAACTTAAACCTCCAGACCAGCCATTGGTCGAGGGGTCCCCAATGGGAAGGAGGGTGTGAGACTTGCTGCTTTTTCTAGAAGGGCATGAGACTTGTTTTTTTTTAAACTTTCCTCTTCCATTTATTATTACCACTATAATCATTTATTATTACCACTCTTATCATTATTATTACTTAATAAACATTCATATTTAAGCAGATGGCTGTTGTCGAGCCTTCTCTTAATTATAATTGTCTGAATCTGAAAAGAACTGCTTGGATACATGCTGTGATCCAAGACAGTGTCCTAGATTTTCAAATAAAGCTTAGGTGAGGAAAATCTGCTTAATTTCGATTATTTGTGGTTGGTTAAATCAAAAAAGATGGAAATGACTCTTAACATTGCTGAACAGGTTCTGGGATTTGAAGGTGTAGAGCTGGATGAACACAACAGGCCAGGCAGCATCAGAGGAGCAGGAAAGCTGATGTTTTGGGTCTGGACCCTTCTTCAGAAATGGGGCAGGGAAAGGGGCTCTGAAATAAATGGGAGGGGGGGTAGGCGATGATGGAAGGTGGACAAAGGAGTGGATAGGTGGAGAGAAGACAGACAGGTCAAGGAGGCGTGGATGGAGCCAGTAAAGGTGAGTGTAGGTGGGGAGTTGGGATGGGGGTTGATCAGTCAAGGGAAGACGGATAGGTCAAGGAGGTGGGGATGAGGCTGGGAGGTAGGAGGTTGGGGTGGGGGTTTGGTCAGTGAGGTGGGAGGAGCGGATGGGTGGGAGAAAAGACGGACAGGTCAAGGAGGCGGGGACAAGCTTGGCTGGTTTTGGGATGAGGTTGGGGGTGGGGAGATTTTGAAGCTTGTGAAGTCCACATTGAGACCATTGGGCTGCAGAGTTCCCAAGCGAAATATGAGTTGCTATTCCTGCAGCCTTCAGGTGGCATCGTTGTGGCACCGGAGGAAGCCTAGGATAGACATGTCGTCCAAGGAGTTGGAGGTGGAGTTGAAGTGGTTCGTGACTGGGAGGTGCAGTCGTTTATCACGAACCGAGAGGGCCCACTCAAATCCTCCAATCACCTGATCCCTCACTGGATCCCAGAACATGCTGAAGCAGGGCCTGTTCACAGCCTCCAATCGTCTGGTTTGTGAAGTAGAGTGGATTAATTTCCTGCACTGAGATAGTAGGAACTGCAGATGCTGGAGAATCTGAGATAACAAGATGTAGACCTGGATGAACACAGCAGGCTAAGCAGCATCAGAGGAGCAGGAAAGCTGATGTTTTGGGCTTAGACCCTTCTTCAGAAATGGGGGAGGGGAAGGGGGTTCTGAAATAAATAGGGAGAGGGGGGAGGCGGATAGAAGATGGATAGAGGAGAAGATAGGTGGAGGAGACAGACAGGTCAAAGAGGCGGGGATGGAGCCAATAAAGGTGAGTGTAGGTGGGGAGTTAGGGAGGAGATAGGTCAGTCCAGGGAGGACAGATAGGTCAAGGGGGCAGGATGAGGCTAGTAGGTAGGAGATGGGGGTGGGGACTTCACAAGCTTCAAAATCTCCCATCCCGCTACCGCATCTCAAAACCAGCCCAGCTTGTCCCCACCTCCCTAACCTGTCCTTCCTCCCACCTCAAGCCCCACCCCCATCTCCTATCTACTAGCCTCATCCCGCCCCCTTGACCTGTCTGTGCTCCCAGGACTGACCTATCCCCTCCCTGACTCCCCACCTACACTCACCTTTACTGGCTCCATCCCCGCCTCTTTGACCTGTCTGTCTCCTCACCACCTATCCTCTCCTCTATCCATCTTCTATCCGCCTCCTCCTCTCTCCCTATTTATTTCAGAACCCCCTTCCCCTCCCCCATTTCTGATGAAGGGTCTAGGCCCGAAACGGCAGCTTTCCTGCTCCTCTGATGCTGCTTGGCCTGCTGTGTTCATCCAGCTCTACACCTTGTCATCTCAATTTCCTGCACTGGCTGGGGTTAGCATCAAGGACACTCTCCTCCTCAACTTCTCCCCTCGCCTGAGCCTTGGTGATCCTCAGGTTAACCCACCATCAGCCATCTCTCTCTTTCTCTACTGAGAAAGCAACCCAATGGTCTGGTAGGACCATGGTGGGGGAAGGCGAGACCTTCAGCATTAAGTTTTAAATACATTAAAATTGTTACTTAAAGTTTGAATTTGATTAATTTGTACACTTTAAAGCAAACAACATTGTGGCTGGTCTGTCTAATTGAGAAGGGAACAAAGATTAAAAGCAGGAGATGGCCATGTGAATGAGTGATTGGGTTACAGTTAGCGCTCTAGACTTGCTCTCTGGCGCCTCTCTGGGCGCTGCGGGGAGGAGGCGGGACGTTTGGCGCAATTTCCGAGCAGGCGTTAAAGCGGGACACCAGCAGGGCGGCGCTGCCGGACCGGCTCGCTGTGTCTTCTGGGAACTGTAGTCTCCTTGCCGCCAGCTCCTGTGTTCCAGGGGAGGAGGCGTGGGGCGGAAGAGGACTACATCTCCCAGGGTGGTGGGGGGGGGGGCTCGCGGCAGGACCCAAGCCGGGGCGAAGGCGGACATTTCAAGTTGCCATAGACGCTTCAGCTTCCCCTCCCAGGGACTGAGGGCGGCTGCCGATGTCCCGGGACGGACCGCCAATGCGGGCGGGATGGATCTTTGCGGCGAGTTAAAGGTAACGGTTTCTTTTAACGAGTACCCACCCGACCTTTCATTTTGATCGACAAGAGGGACTGTGGTTCACACCGTCCCCCTGTCAGGGCTGAGCCAGGCCTGGGCACTGAGGGGTGCGGGTGCGGGTGCGGGTGCGGGGGTGGGGGTGGGTGGGAGGGAGAGAGAGAGAGAGAGATGGAGATGGAGATAAGCAGCTTCTGTGTGCCTTTAGGAACTAACCTGTGCAGCTCTGAACTACCCATCAGGCTGGTTCTGAAAGTTGTGAGTTCAAATCCCCCTTCAGTATCTGAGGGGTGGAGGAAGGAAGGCTGAGAGGAGATGTTGATAGTGTTTTGGAGTGTAGAGCTAAGAGTTTTAGATATAAAGGGAGTTTGGACAGACTGGGACAAAAACAGACATTCTGCTCCTATGATGCTGCTTAGCCTGCTGTGTTCATCCAGCCCTGCACCTTGTTGTCTCGGATTCTCCAGCATCTGCAGTTCCTACTATCTCTGATTGTTTTGCGAAACTCAGCAGGACTGGCAGCATCTGTGGAGAGAGATACGGAGTCAACTTTTCAGGTTGTGAAGAAAGTTCACTGGACCCAATACATTCATTCTGTTTCTCTCCCAGCAGATGCTGCCAGACCCGCTGAGTTTTCCAACAATCTCTGTTCTTGTTTCTGATTTTCAGCATCTGCAGATCTCTGGTTTTTCTGAAGAAGGGTCACTGGCCTGAAACATTAACTCTGTTTCTCTTTCCACAGATGCTGCCAGACCTGCTGAGTTTCTCCAGCAGCTTCTGTTTTTGTTTCTGATTTCCAGCATCTGCAGTTCTTTATTTTGTTTTTGGGTAGACTGGGGTTGTTTACCCTGGAGCAGAGGAGACATGATTGAGATTTATAAAATTATGGGGGCATAGACACAAAGGAACTTTTCCCCCTTGTTGGGGATATCAATGACCAGGGGTAGGGATTTAAGGTAAGGGGCAGGAGGTTTAGAGAGGATGTGAGAAAATTGTTTTTCATCTAATGGGTGGTAGGAGTCTGGAACACTCTGCCTGTGAGAGTGATAGAAACAGAGAGGCTGGGACTTTTTTCACCAGAGCTTAGGAGGTTGAGGGGTGACCTTAGGTTTATAAAATCATGAGGGTCATAGATAAGGTGAATAACAAAGGTCTTTTCCCCAGGGTAGGAGAGTTCAAAGATAGGAGACATATATTTTTAAGGTGAGAGGAGAAGATTTAAAAAGGACCTGAGGGGCAGCTTTTTCACACTGGTTCAGATGTGGAATGACCTGCCAGAGGAAGTGGTAGATGCAGGTACAGTTACAACATTTAAAAGACATTTGGATAGGTATCTGAATAGGAAAGGTTTACAGGGATATTGGCCAAACGCAGGCAAGTGGGACAAGTTTAGTTTGGGAAAGTTGGTCAGCATGGACGAGTTGGACTGAAGGGTCAGTTTTTGTGCTTTGTGTCTCCGAGTATTTAGATGTGCACTTGTGATGTCAAGGCTATGGACCGAGTGTTAGAAAATGGGATTGGAATAGTCAGGTGTTCAACATTATGAAGGGGTCAGGGCAGGGTTGTGGGGTAAAGATGGGCTAGATGCATGAGTTTAAATCCTATGGAGTGCTGTATAGGTCCTCTGGTGCTACCTCTGAGAAGAGTAGAGAAGTTATGTCAGATATCCTGGCCAATTTTGAATCCACGATCGATATCGGTACATGTTTACATTGGGATACTAATTTTTGCGTCTCCAACTTTTCAATATGCCCAAACTTTGAAACATATTTCATTGCTCCAACTTCAGGATGTCTTGAAGCCATATATGATCAAGATATCATATAAATGCAAGTCTTTTTGTTTTTAATTTCAACAGTATGTACTTTGTGGTGCTCTGCTAATGTAAACATACTCCTAAATAAAATTTTGATATTACATTTATGCTGAGCTCTTTACAATGACCAGACTTCTCAATAAAGCAGTTTTGAAGTGTAGCCATTTCTGTAAATTAGGAAATGAAGCAGTTTGTTCACAGAACTCTCACAAACAGCAATGCGCTAACATCCAAATATCCTGTCTTGAAGATGGAGCCTGGGCTTTATCTCTCATCTGAAAGGTAGCATGTCTGACCGTACAGCTTTGATGTGAAGCTGCTGGTGTCGAACTGGGGTGGACAAGGTCAGAAATCACACGACATCAGGTTACAGTCCAACAGGTTTATTTGAAATCACAAGCTTTTGGAGCGCTGCTCCTTCGTCACTTCACCTGACCTGTTGTCATGTGACTTCTGACCTAGTACAGTCCTGGTGTGGGAATTGATGCCAGAGCCTGGAACAAAAACAGAAGTCGCTGGAAAAGCTCAGCAGGTCTGGCAGCATCTGTGAAGAAAAATCAGAGTTAACGTTTCAGGTCCTGTGACCCTTCCTCAGTTCTGATTTAGAGCATCCGCAGTTCTTTCGTTTTTGACCCCAGAGCGTTGTGACTCAGAGGTGTTATGTACAGTACACAAAGCACCAAGAACAAAATATGTAACTGGTCACTAATTATCATGGAGGCGATATGTGGATATGTTGTAGCCTCCATCATAGTTTAACTCGATCTGATGTTGGATTGGGAATTAAAATATTCCTGGCTGTAACATTTTCAGGAGTGTTGAACAGGGGAAGGTAAAGGCTGTGGGGTGAACCCTAAAGTTAGCATCTCAGAATGGTAAACCAATGCCTTGACAACTTAAGCCCTTGTTAATGCAACAGTGTGTGCAGTTCAAGTGTAGAATAGGAATGATATTATAGTTCTGAAAAAACTACGGTGAAGTTTGTCCAGGGCGAAGGGTTACTGTTACTAAGAAAGTGAAGAAAATTTTATACACTGAAAGAATGAAAATTTAGGGGAAATCTAAGGGGGAATCTGTAAAATTATGAAATATTTTGATAAAATAGATGACGAAATAGATGGTATAAAACTTTGGAGTATAAGAAGTGTGAAAAGGATAAGTGTAGAACTTGAAATGGATGTAGGTTGTTTGGTGGAATGGATTGACAAGTGGTATTTCGGGTTCACTGTCAAGAAATGTGAAGTGATTCATTTTGGTAGAACAGAATTTGTATGTGGATTGATAGCATTAAATAAAGGCTACAATTGTAAATGGCGCACAGAAGCAAAGTGACTGTTTTTCTTGGAGTGGAGTTGGCTGCAAGGTGATTTGATAGAGCTATTCAAAATTATGAGGGTTCCAGACAGAATAGGTAGGGAGAAACTTCTAGACGATTTAGGACAGAGATGAGGAGACATTTTTTCGCCCAAAAAGTGGTGACCCTGTGGAATTCATTACCACAGGAAGTAGTTGATGCTAAAACATTGAATGTATTCAAGAGGCGACTAGATATAGTACTTGGGACGAATGGGATCAAAGGTTATGGCAAGAAAACAGAATTAGGCTATTGAGTTGGACGATCAGTTGTGATTGTGAAGACTGGCGGAGTCGGCTCGAAGGGCCGAATGGCCGCCTCATGTTCCTATCTTCTATGATACTATGTAACTTGTGAAAGGATTAATAAATTTCGTATAAGTGGCAAAAGCAGCAATGATAACTTGAGGAAAAATCTTTTTGACACACAGCAAGTGGTTAGGATCTAGAATACACTGTTTGAGAGCATAATGGAGGCAGATTCGTTTTACACGTTCACAAGGGAATTGGATTGTTATCTGAAAAGAAGAATCTGCAAGACTATTGGGAGAGAGCAAAACAATGTACCTCCACCTGCACTTCATTTTTTAATTCACAGACTCATTAATCACCCAAACATTTGGGGGCAGGAGGTGGGGGGGCCACCGATAGGAGGAGTGGGGGTGGGGGTGGGATTGGGGGTGAGAGAGAGTAGAGAGAGAGAGAATATGTCACCAGACTAATAATCCAATGGCCCAGACTAATGCCTAATGCTCTGGAGTCACAGGTTCAAATCCCAATTTGGCAGATAGTGAAATTTAAATTTAATTGATAATTGGGGATTTGAAAGCTAGTCTCAGTTTCATGGTCACCATTAGTATCATTGATTGTCATCTACCAACTTACCTCATCTGGCTTACATATAACTCCAAACCCACTCTAATGTGGTTGCCATTTGACTGAAATCCCCTAGAACACCCATCAGAATTGGTAACAACAGTTTGCCACATGAAGTAATAAAAAAAAACAAGGCAGCATGATCTCATGACCAATCAGAGAAAGGATTAAACATATTTTCCTTGTCCGTTATTGGTATATAATAAAAAATACTCTGGCTAAGTCAGAGCAATTCTCTCCACTTACTTAGAATCATTTCCTGAATTATTTTCCTCCAGCTCTCCTGCCCAAACTCTTGATTGTTGCCCTTACAATTGCTGCTATTCACATATCCTTCATTATATTGAAGTGGGCAAAACTTTCTGGTAGATTGAGTGGGGGGAAAAAGTGAAGTTCCTTTTGGCAGGAAGAATAGTAAAAGCAGATTATTACTTAAATAGAGAACAGCTGAAAAGTTCTGAGGTGCAGAGGGATTTGGGTATTCTGGTGCCTGAATTGCAAAAAGTTAATATATTAGTACAGCACATAATCAAGAAAGCTAATGGGATACTACCTTTTATTGCAAGGGAAATTGCATATGAGAATGCAGTATTCATTTACACAAGGTACTGTTATCACGACTTTGAATAGTGTGTGCAAATCTGGTGTCCTTATTTAAGGAAGGATGTCAACGTGTTGGATGCAGTTTAGAATAGGTTTACGAGATTGATACCTTGAATGAGTGGTTTGGTTTTGAGGGTAGGTTAGACAGACCAGGCTTGTTTTCATTGAAGTTTAGAAGTGATTCATGGGATGACGGCATTGCTGGCTAGGCCAGCATTTATTACCCATCCCACATGGCAGTTAAGAGTCAACCACAATGCTGTGGGTCTGGAGTCATGTGTCGTCCAGACCTGGGTAAGGAAAGTACGACTTAATTGAAATGTAGAAGATCCTGAATGGTCTTGACTAAG